AGAAAGAGGAGCTGGAGTTAGAACTTGTGTTTGGCTTTTAAAGTCTGTGATCTCAATTGTTCTATAATACAGATACTAGCTATAGCACCTACCCTAAGTGAAAGTGAGGTGAAGGGTTATAGGCAGGGAAGAGGAAGAGGAGATTCCTCTCCCCCCTCCACACACCATTCTACTGAAACCCATTAAAGTCTCCCTCATTTAACCAGCAAGAGTTTGTGGTGGTCTGAAGCCTGTGGATTGGGAGAAGTCAGATGAGCAACTTGGGATAGCAGCACAATCTTCGGGTTTTGGAAGATGGGGATGATAACTAATCATAGACTAAGACTAGGAGACTGGCTGCTTCAAATGGAAGTGGGTGTTTTATAAGTAATTAGCAAGGAAACATTTAGGGGAGTCAGGGACTGCAGTTAAACTGATCACTAGAATCCAGGAAATAGGAGGTTTTCAGGTCTCCATATAGGTCAGGTGAGGGGAGTAACCAGAAATTCTCAGTCCATGTGCTTAATGGTTTTTGTTTTAATTAACCTTCCTAATAAAACAGACAACATAGCCTATTTATTTCAGAGAGTTCTAAGGTTTCTTGGAGGGAGGACTGTAACATGGATATGACTCCACTCCACTAATTAATGGGGAATACATGAAAGTTTTCAGGAAATATTGTACTATACAGTCAAAACAACTACTTTGTATTCAGTATGAAATTGGTGAAAGATCCTATGCTGGGGGCTATGAAAAGATGACACAGAAAATCTCAGTGACCTCAAGAGAGATTTAAATTTACTAGGGAGACTAAGATGTGTGTAAAAATAACAATGATGCAAAGCATTTAAATGGGTAAATTAGATTACCATTATAGCCAGAATAAATATTTTTAGTAACAAGGGGGAAAAAAGTTAATGAAATGAAAATTCAGTTGTTCAAGGTTAGGGAAGCAAAACTGATTATTAAGGCATTTCAGCAACATTGTGATTAGTAGGATGATTCAGTTTTGCACCAAGACCAATTTGACCTTACAGAAATTAAAATCTCAGTCTCCTCACAAGACAGAAAATATCAGATGAGAAATGAGCGATTATCAGTCGATGCCCAGTCTGTGACAACTCTAATGTTTACATTAAAAGTGCATCCTATGGGGCGCCTGGGTGGCGCAGTTGGTTAAGCATCCAACTTCAGCCAGGTCACTATCTCGCGGTCCGTGAGTTCGAGACCCGCGTCAGGCTCTGGGCTGATGGCTCGGAGCCTGGAGCCTGTTTCCGATTCTGTGTCTCCCTCTCTCTCTGCCCCTCCCCCGTTCATGCTCTGTCTCTCTCTGTCCCAAAAATAAATAAACATTGAAAAAAAAAATAAAAAAAAAATTAAAAAAAAAAAAAAGCGCATCCTCTAATGCAGTGTAGGAGCATTTTGTTAGACAATAATGCTTGGAGGTATTAAAAAACACTTGCTATTTAAAAAAGTTGTGCCTTAGCAGACAGGCATCAAACTGTAAATTATGCATACAAATGTCTATTGTTTGAAAATCTACTTATTAGTGTAGGGTAAAAACAGAGGCTATTTGTGACATCCTGTCTTTGGTGTATAACTCTCTAATATTTGTTTCTTTTACTACATAGATTGTGTTCAAGAATATGTATGTGTGTGTATTTGTATTGTTCAAAAATGATTAAAGAAGAAAATTTAATGATACAAACTTTATTTAACAGTTCATGGGTTAGAAAACGTCCATTTGGAGAACTGCAAAATCAGGCAGAAGGCAGCTTTTATAGGATAAAAAGTAAAGAACAAGGAAGAAAAAGACAAACAATAATGTGATTAGCTGAGGCCACATAGTCAACCTTGTTTTGGGTCAGTAGGAACAAAGAAATATAGACCTCACAGCTGGCTTGGTGGTTTGAGATTGGCTGACTGGATATACTGTGTTTCTGGTCAAGCAAAGCATTTATAGGTACACAAAAGTTATCCAAGTTTCAGTCTGCTGATGTGGCATTCTGGGAATAAGTGGCTCCATCTTGGGTTTAGAAAGGTGTTTCAACAGTATCTATACTATAGTAGCTTACTGTATGCTGTCTAAAGGAAATCTGTCTAAAAATAATTTTGTGTAAATTCTATAAGTACCAAAAGTCCTTTCACCTTTTTCCACCTCTTAGAACACATAGTTTAAGTGTAATTGTAATCTACAGAATGATTGAATATACAATTTTGATCTCTGGCATTTTATTAGTGTCTTATTGCTGCAAAACAGATTACCACACAGTGGCCTAAAACAACACAAATTCATTATCTCACATTTTGTAGATGGAATTTTTAGTTTCACTGGGTTCAAATGAAGGTTTTGGCCGTGCTCTGTTTCTTTTTGGAGTCTATAGAAAACACTCCATTTCGAATCTCATTGAGGTTGTTGGCAGAATTCAGTTCCATACTGTTTTAGGACTAAAGTCTCTGTTTCCTCATTGTTTGTCAGCCAGGAGTCATTATCTTCTTCTAGAGGCTGCTCACATTTCTTGGTTCAAGGCCCCTTCCCTCCATCCTCAAACTAGTAATGGCTGGTTGAGTCATTCTCTCTTCTGACTCACCTCCCCTCTGCTTCTCTTGCTACATCTCTACTTCCAGCTGAGAAATTACTTTGTTTTTATGTTTCAAGTGATTATGTGGGGCCCACCTGGATAATCTAGGATGCTCTCCTTGTTTTAAAGTCAGTTGACTAGTAACCTCCTTCCATCAGTGAATCCCCTTCCTAGCAGTACCTAGATTAGTGTTTGATTGAATAACTAGAGGACAGGAATCTTGCAGGAATCTTTTTTATGATTTTTCCCTCTGCAGTCATTATCATTTATCTGGTGATTTAAAAACTAACTTTAAGGTGAAATTTACATATCACCACTTAATTCATTGTGCTGATACACGGAAAAAACAACTTCTACATAAACTGATTATGAGTATCTTTTTCCCATGAAGAACTAATCATTCCTGAGATATATCAGTATTTGAAAATCATGGATTTTATGAGTAGTGAAATCCCATTTGGACCTATGTACTTGTAAGAAAATAATATATATAAATAATATATATTCCACCTCATGAAAATAGTATTTAAGCAAGCAATATAAAGTCCTTCTTGTTTGTTCACTCCACTATTTTGACTAACACATGCACCAACTTTAAGGTTTGTCCAGTTTGAGGAAGTCCTAAGACTTCAGTATGTAAGTAACTTTCACTGTATTTATTGATTTTACCTAAATTCTGTATGCTAAACCTCGAAATGTTAAATGATTTGTCCAAGGTCAAATGACTGCTTATTTAGAATTCAGCTTTTGTATTTACTTATGTGTCAAAATATTTATTGGTGTAGGTCACTTGTTACTAAACATAGAAAATATGATTTTTCCTTTGGTACTTACCCACTCACAGAATTTTTTAAAAAATATTATCTTTTAAAAGCTTTTTAAAAAGTTTTCTAATATTATTATCCTATTTGTTTATAGTTACCTCTTTCCCTGACTTGGATAATGTTCAAGGTTAATTGTATATGTATATTTTTTTTTTCAGTTATGAAGTTTACTAAAATGTTCAGCTCTGAACCAGACTAAATTTGACAATGATCAATCAGTAACTCTATGAGTAACCTTGTGGCCAGTTATGTAATCTGCTAACATGATACATAGCTTTAACATTTTACTTTAGCTATTCATGAGTTTAACAAGACCAAAAAAATGAGTCTTGTTAATGCAAAGATTGATCAAATACTCTTTTTTTCTTGAAATTCTAAACTTATTTAAAAATTTACTATAAAGTGATGCATGAGTGGTTCTATGTAGCTATACTTGTAATGCTTATCTGCATCTTAAAAAAAATAATTATGGGGGCATCTGGGTCGCTCAATCGGTTAAGCCTTCGGCTTCGGCTCAGGTCACGATCTCACAGTTCTTGTGTTAGAGCCTCATGTCGGGCTGTGTGCTGACAGCTCAGAGCCTGGAGCCTGCTTCGGATTCTGTGTCTCCCTCTCTCTCTGCCCCCTCCTCTGCTCACACCCTGTTTCTCTCTTTTTCAAAAATAAGGAAACATTAAAATAATTATGTGATCATGATCATCTCAATATTTTAGACACTTTTAGCTCTTGTATAACACTTGCTTATTTTAGATGTTACAAATTTATATATTCAATTGTTTATAATCTTAATTTTTAAAGAATAAAATCGTGTTACTTCACATCCTTTTCTAGTCACTCATTCATTTATCTGGTATTTACTGGGGAGCTATATTGTACTCTAAATATTGGGGCCACATGATAAAAAAAGATTAAATTCCTGCCTTTGTGGCCTTTAATGGCCTTCTAATGGGGAGATAAATATGAAACAGAGTTTCAGTTTTAGAGTGTTTAGGTGATGTAAACAAAATAAAGCAGAGTGAGTAAACCCCAAGAGAACAAAGGGGCAGGTGTGTGGTTTAAATATGGTGGCTGGGGGTGGAGGGGTCAGGAGACTGTGTGGTATGGATACGTGAGCCAGGGAAGATCTTTATGGGCAGAAGTTTAGCAGGTGAGAGTCCTGAAGTGGAAATGAGCTTGCAGGCTCGAAGCAACAAGCAGTCTGAGTTGCTGGGACAGGGAAACTGATAGAATGCTAGGAGATGAGCAGGCCAACCCCTAAAGTTTCAGGATCAGGTTCGAGTCAAAATGAAGGTAAAAAATCTTATGTCTATGAATTTAACGGTTACAAATCAAACTATACTCATGGCCTGGTCAGCATTTCTACTTCTTGACCTTGAAGTTAAAGGGACATGTTCTTGCTTCTTTGACCAGGTTGGCATCTACAAGCCTGACTGAGAACATTGATCTGTTGAGGCTGTGTAGGGGAGAAGCTGGGCTTTCATGCATGCAAGAGTCCTAAATGATGATGAGATCTACCTGAACCCACTAGAGAGCTTGACCTGGTTCAACTGCTGCAGAGACCTGAACTGTGGCAGGTGTTCCTCCTCAGGGCTAATTTTGCTAACTCACGATTTCCAGCCTTCCAGCCTTTAAAATGCCTTCCAAAAGTATCCCATCATAGAGAAGACAGCATGGCTACCCAGGAGATACGGCCTCTTGGAGAACTTGGGAGACCCCAACTTTAAAGGTAGGCTTCCTTTTTCTGAATTGTACACTCTCACTTGCCATGTCTCTTCCTCTAATTCCTGTTTAATAGTTACTGAACTTTTAGAAAATGTTTTAAAGAAAAAAAAACAACTTGTGTTTAAGTTTGTGAAATCTATCACTTGCGGTTGATGTGCAGGACGGTCCAAGGGCAGTATTCAAAGTGAGGGTTGAGAGTTCCTCAGGGTCATAACTTGTAGCAGTTTTAAAGATGCTTAAGAAACTTTTGACACTCATCTCCATGTGTTGGGAAGTGTTTTGGAGGGTTAAATCTAGACTTAGATTGAAAGTGAATCCTCTAGCTCCTCCAACCAAAGTGTTTTTTTCCCATAATGATTTGGTATATTGCACACTTTCTCTCTAGCAATCTCCACTTTATTCATAGTGAATTGTTACATTATAGGCTGTGGACCCCTCTAAAGTGGTCCTTCATCAATGGGACTACTGAGGCACCTGTTGTGATATTTTATAATTTGTAGATACGTGTTTTTAAAACTTTGAAGCAAGGGGTGCCTGGGTAGTTCAGTTGGTTAAGTGTCTGACTTTGGCTCAGGTCATGATCTCACAGTTCATGAGTTTGAGCCCCGCGTCGGTCTTGCTGCTGTCAGCATATCAGCACAGAGCCCATTTGGATCCTCTCTCCCCCTCTCTCTCTCTGCCTTTCCCCAACTGGTTCTCTCTCACTCTCTGAAAATAAATAAACTTAAAAAAATAAAAAGAAACTTTGAAACAATATCAAAATTATGTAAATGTTAAAAATCTAGTAGGCATAAAATCCTTATTTTTTGCCAACCGTTTGAGATCAGGTAGTCAAAGTCAATTTCTATCAGTTCCAAATATTTTATTTTCTACAAATAAGAATGTTGTCTTATGTAATTGCACAATAACCATCACAGGAAATTAACATTAACATAGTACGATTTTTAGTTCTCCTAAAGCAAGATACATGAAATTGAGATTATGGAGGGGTTTCAGTTATTTATAAGAGTAAAGATCATTGATTCCCCATTGGAGTGAATGGCTGAAGTACAGGAGAGTATGAGACTTGAAGGAGAGACTTGAAGGACAAGCCATAGTATGAAAAGGATTGTTTACACCTGTAATGAAACCACTTATGACAGGTAATAGAGCTAAACTCATGGAAAAATAAAAAATGATTCAGGGGTTAAGCAGATTAAAGGGAAATTGTAGATTAGTTGGTAACCTAATGTGATAATGTAAGATTGAAAGTTGAATCTGTTGTTAAAGAAAAAGAAGGAACGTTCTGAAGTCTACTAAGGGCCATCATGGAGAACTGTGTTATCTTTACTCCCAGAGGTGCAGAGTTATGGGGAGAAGATCCAGCACTGTTTGACTGGACCACAGGGAAAGCAGGCCTTCAGACGAGAGTCAGGGGTATCTTGAACAAAAATGCAAGTAAAATGATTATTTCTTCTTTTGAATTATCTTAAATTACTGCAATCTGAGTTATGTGTTTAATATTCTGTTTTATTCAGATTTTTTTGTCCCTTGTATTAAGAGGTTTTTGGGATATCTGATTTCTTCATTTTCAGGAGTCTTCTAAACTTCTTACTCTGTAGATAAACAGAAGGTGGAGGGAGGAGAGGAGAAAAAGCTACAGAATCAGAGCTGAAATAAGTGAATTTTATTCAAAGCTTTTAAAATCACTATGTATTTCAGACATGAAGTCACCTTGATGTTTTTTTTTCCCTTACTTTAACTCCAGATTGTCGATTTGAGTCCTGTATTCCGTATCTTAAAAGTAGTCTACTGCTCTCTAGCTCTCCCCTGCCACCACGCTAGCCTAAGCAGCATCCTCATTTACATCTGAGGATGCTCTTCCTGAATCCAGGTTTAACAGCTTCAATTTATTTTCCACATATTAGCCAGCTTAATAAAAAAATATTAAAATATGTCACTTCTTAGACTTAAACCCTTCAACTGTCTCCCACTCTCTTCAGGATAAAGTCTACCATGGACAGCAGCAAATTATTACATGAAATGTCTGCCCACTTCAATATCCTCTCTCCATTGCCTGCAACAATTCAGCCACATGGATTTCCTGTCAGCTTTTAATATATTCCAAGCTCAGTACTACAAAAATTATCACACATTCTACTTCTCTCTCCAACACAGATACAGATCATATAAAATACACATACATACATACATACATGCATACCTATTCTCATACTATTCATAGCTAATTTCTTTACATACTCCTGGATACCTTCTTAAAGTCCCAGTCTTTGAGAGGTATTTCCTTATTATTTTCTTTAATTGATACTCAGTTATTCTCCCTCCCTGCATGCAGTGTGTTGTCTTCATAACCTGTGTCTCACACCTGTATTTGTTAGATGACTTTATTTTCTTTTCTATTTGTCTATCTCCCATAGAGGAGTAAGCTGGAAAAAGGCAGAATTCATATGTGTTTCATTAACAAATGCCTGGCATTACATAATTAGTGCTTAATAAATAGTTAATGATGGAGTGAATTCAGTCACCTGGGTAGAAGGTGATTAGGTAGTAAAAGATAATTTGAAAATGAGCTAATATTAGGCATAATGGAAGCAAAAAAAAAAAAGGACTATTTAAGACTTGGTTACTTCTATAAATGGAGAAGAAACACATATTCATTTACCTACTTACTAAATTTGTAACATTTATTAAACCCTTCTTGACAATTAAAAAGCATGTTAGTGAGTAAATTTTGAGTTTGTTAGTATCTGACAAAAACTTTGAGGGTTTGAGCCCTCCAAATTAAAATATTTACCAGAAATTAATCCAGATGTCTAGCTTTGAATTTATCATTTTTGAGATTTGAAGTTTGAAGTCTATAAATGGATAAACTTAGTGATACTAACATGCCATCAGAAAAGGATAAAATCTTATGGATGACTAAGTCATTAGCTAGGAGACTCCATCAAGCAAATTGGGTTAGGATATTCTATACATACATGGTTGCATGTATACCTAGAAACACAGTGTATCCATTATGATTGATTTAAAAGAACAAAGGTGGGCTCTGGTAAACTTCAGAAGAAAATAAATTATTGCAAGGCTATTGAATGACTAGCATAAAGGATGAGAAATCTGGAGAATCCAGCTTAGAAAACTGAAAATAATTGAATGAGACTAAGACCTTGAGAGCAAGCCAAGGTAATGGAGCAGGATATCAGGCTGTCACCATTGGTAAACCTGTTCCTGGACACTAACCTCCTGCATCACTCTGACATTAGCCTCTAGTTCCAATCCCCAGGGAACATCTCTTTTGCAAGATTTAGTGTCTTAGGCTAGTTCTTTTTTGCAAGGCCTACTTGCCTCCCTTCTAACTATTCAGGTGAAAGAATAGGGTTCTTGACTCTGACCAAGGTGAGAGCACAAAGAGTGCTTTCTTCCCAAACACAAAGAGTGTGTAGGCACTGGTAATGGTAATTTTTAAGTGACAATTGTTCATTGCACAGATTACATGTCTGCATTTTTCCATCAGTAAATTTATAATGACTGAGTAATTTATATGTATTGGAACTGAGTAGTTTCATGTGAGTGTGGAAATTATGTAGACATTATTTACTGGGCAGGAGTTCTCACCATCATGTTTCCAATACTGCAGCTGTCAAGATACCCAATCCTTCGGCTCATATTGATTTCGCCTTATTGGCACCCAGAATGAAATCTCTGTGAATCTTCTGCTTTACTTTCTTCAGTAAACATTGAGAGTGGTTACGACCTACCTAACTATAAAAATTCTCTAATTGATGAAGGTCACTAGTTGATTATCCAGTCGTAATTCCTAATAGTTCCTAGTATAGAAGAGCAAAGGCCCTGTAGGAATAATGGCTTAAGTTGGACACATGGGTCTATCTTTTATGACAGCCAAATGGATAGGAAAGATTATAATAGCACCTAAACATCTGTTAAAACTAACTGTATCAGTGATCTGTGAACCAACCATGCTTTAGTGATAGAATATTACCTCTTTAGAGACATAATTCTGGGCTATAAGGTCAAACATTTACTTTTTAAAAGAGCACCTAAGTATAAAAATTATACAATGCCCTATACCATTTTAGGATGTTATCAAGTAGAACCATATCCCCTTTAAATATAAAAATAAATGGAACAGGTATGACTCAAGGCATTTACCATGTGTTATTTTCTGTACATGAAAGAAGTTAAAATTTTCATGAGACTTAGAGTTTGCAAATATTGCTTCTTAATAAAGCATAACCATTATTTGTTTCAGGTCTGAATGAACCACATAATAGGCATAAATCAGATAAATGCTCTTTTACCCTGGAGCCCTCTTTAGGGGATATCTATCGATGGAGATCTGTGACAATGGACACACTCCAGTAGCTCATGAATCTTAGCTGCTAAATATAGTAGGCAACAGTCAAAGATCAATGAAAAGATTAATGGTTTTAATTACCCCTATGTAACCAGTTGTGGGTAAAATTTTACTTGCTACTTTCACTGAGGGTAGCACACCACAGTCAACTTTCCAGTAAAGCTAATTTGACTTTCTGCTTGGTAAATTGCTCATTGACAATCTTGTAATGAGTCTGCTCTGTGTGTGACTGAATACTGAGCATGCTTCTGCTTTCTAAAAACATGGAGAAAAGGCCATAAAACTGATGAATGACACACAAACAATTTCCTTGTGAAAAATATTAGGAAATAAGACCGTTTCCAGGCAATAGTTTCCCTGCTTGAGCTGTATGGAGCAAGCAAAAGAGTACCAAATGAATGTTGTATTTATGGAACTGCATGAACAATCCTAATAAATACTGACAAACATCTTCTGAAGATACATGGGGTAACTGACAAATTATCTTTTTGACAAAAGGAAAAAGACCATTTTAGTCTATATGATTTGCTTAGGATTATTGATTATTAGAACTATATCCTAGCCCATGTATGAATTTATAAATCCACATTTAAGAATAAGTGGAGGTCTGAAAGGTTTCTAGCAGTTCCTGTTAAATTATGTGCCATAGGCCATCAGTTTCATCTCAATTTCTAAGTTAGTACTTCTATACAAAGAATCAAGATACTGCATCAAAATATTAGCTATCCATCAAAGGAAAAGGAGTAGAACCGTAGGTTAAAACATTTTGTTTGTTATTACTTCCGTTTTAGTTTTGTGGTGCAAAGGATGGATGTTGCTAAGGTATTAAAAAAATAATCTTTGGGGCACCTGGGTGGTTCAGTTGGTTAAATGACCGACTTCGGGTCAGGTCCTGTTCTTGTGGTGAGTTCGAGCCCCGCATCAGGCTGTGTGCTGACAGCTCGGAGTTTGGAGCCTACTTCGGATTCTGTCTGTCCCTCTCTCTGCTCCTCCCCTACTCACACTGTCCCTCTCTCAAAAATAAATATTAAAAAAAAGTAATCTTAAAATGATTCACCTTCCCACACTGGTCTGACTGTATAATTTTTAGCTGTTAATGCTCAGTTAAAATTATTAGAATGTTCTCAGTATAACACTAAATTAGGTGGTGACTGTCAAATGTTAAGCTATTTAATGCAAATGTTCAGGAATGTCTGCTGGCTGGGGGTATGCATTCAGAGGATTGCTCAAGCAAAGAACAATGAAGGGCAGGGAATACTACTAGGCACGTGCATTAGCATGATTTTTTAAAACATATCCAGTCTTAAAGGAAAATAAAGACCTTTCACAGAGCAATTCAGTTTTTTCCAAACTTAACTATCTTGGTTTATTTGCTCAGTAAACCTGTCTACAGCATGAGACACATGTGAATACTGACCACCCTAAAACTGTTCTTTATTTCTGAGGACAATGAAACAAGTACCTGGAGTGTTACCATCTCTGAAAACAAATGTTTATATGGAGTTTGGGGTGTAAGAGTTTACTAGAGTGCAGCTCTCAGGAGGGGAGAAGGATTAGCCAGAGGAAAAAGTCAAATTGTAATAGAAGCCCAATAAAACTCAGTAAAACTGGTGGGAAGATTGGGAACAAGTATATTCTGTCAGTTATTTGACCTTTCCGCCTTGATGATACTCTTCACCAAATGTGTGCTGCCTGGGGAAGTACATGACCTTCGGCTACCTCTGAAACTAAGGCAAACCTTAAAATACTTAACAGCTGACAGTAGTTTTCTGGTTAGGCTTTTTACAGTTGGATAGAAGATCCTTACTTGAATGAGGATCTGGGAGTCACATCTCTGTCACAACCCACTCCATGTGCTGCCCAGATGGGACAGAGTAGTTAGTCCTCACTGCTGCAGCTGGTTTGGGCTCTACGGGTGATTGTCTTGTGTCCTTCCCCACTTTGCACTCTAGACTCCTCGTCCTCTCAGCTACGGCCTCTGCATGGCTCAGTGCCTTACTTGCTGATTTGAGATCTTCTCTCTGACTGATACAGACCCCTGGTCACCATGCCTT